AAAGTCCCAGTTTTGGAAACAATTATGTCATCTTACACACAAGAAGTATTCCCCAGTACTTCTCTGGATGAAAGCAGTATTGAGTTTGAATTTGAAACGGATCGTAACCTATACTTGGATATGCGTGATACCCATCTTAGCTTGAAGCTTCAACTGTTCAAAGGAAGATTGTTTTATGCTTTCAAAAAAGAAAAAGCAGAACATAAAGCAAAATCGGAGGAAGATTCAAATGAGGAACCACAAACTTACTTAACTTATGTAAACAATCTACTACATTCTCTATTCTCAAACTGTGAAGTTTATTTTAACAATACAATGGTTTACAATGCCAATGGATTATATCCTCATAAGGCACAGATATCGAACGAATTCAACTCGTCAGCAGTGAGTAATAAAGGAATTCTTGCTTGTCATGGATACAGTTTTGAAGAAAATCCTGATGCATTTGATATGTATCCATTCACTGATAGAGCAAATTCCTTGGGAACAGGGATAACATTTTCACTCTATGGGAGGCTCGCCATTGATTTGTTTACTTGCGAAAAACTGTTGCTACCAAATACCAAAGTTCGAATTAAACTTATTCGAGCTAGACCTAATTTTTACATGTTATCTGATAATCCAAATGTCAGTCTGAAAATAGTTGATTGTTCACTGTTTACAAGAAGAATTTCAGTAGCTGAACCTAATCATCAATATTTGCAATGGAATCTGGAAAGGGAACCTGCTCATTACAATTACATGGAAACTATAGCAAGAACCTTTATCATTCCATCTCGTCAAAACCAGTTTATTCAAGAAAATTTTTTCAATAATGCCCCAATCAGAAGGATAGCTGTTGCAATGAAAACAAATTCGGCTGTTCCGGGATCTTTTGATGAAAATCCTTTCAATTATCAACAATTTCATTTGAGAGAGCTTAGAATTATTCGGGGTGGAAGAGCAAGTATTTCATAAGATACAACTTCTCCTTGTCGACCCTATGTTACAACAATGAAAGCAATGCAGTTTAACGAAGATTTTCCAGCTCTTCCTATGGAAGATTTTCAAAATCACTATATTCTAGTTTTCGACTTGACTTCACTACAGGATGCCGCTGAACACTTGCATTATCCAGAACTTAGTGGAGAAAGCTTGAGATTAGAAATATTTTTCCAATTTCCCTTGGAGCAAGTAACGGAAGTGATAGTCTTGGGAGAAAGACTATCAAATATTCAAATTGACAAATTCGGAACAGTCGTTAAAAATGTTTAATCGAGTTTTCAGGTTCCTATAAAACTATTGTAACTTTTTTGGGACTTTTCTTTGTTATTATCTCTGTACTATCTATATTGTTTTTCTTCAGACCTAAAACTCCAGAAAAAATAGAGAAGGAATGCTGTTTAGTTGAAAACCCGAGACATTTTTCAACCTAGACTGTAAAACAGTATTCAATAATTTTTGCCCACTATATAAGGCTTGTGTATGGGACTTTGTTGATTCAATTCCTAAATGTGTGTAAGTCATTATTCTTCTTTTTTTTAACCTAAAGTACACTATCAAACTATCAATTTAATTTTTAGCTGTAAATCAGCTTACAATTGCAAAGATGGATACTTTTTCATTTTTGCAAATTATTGAAAGAATTCCAGAGCTCAGGTTCAAGTACATGGGGTCATACCCTTCTGATACAGTACCTCAACTAACAAAAGACTCTTTTGCAATTATTAACTCAGCCCCAAGCAATGATAGAGGAGAACACTGGATTATGATTGCGCTACTACTTTGCAAATTCTTTGGGAAGAAAGAGATCAACTTACCCCTTTTTGACGAAAAAGTTTCGACGAATGGTTCCTCGAAAGCTACAAAAGACTGATAATTTGTGTGGTTTTTACGCAATTTATTCAGCTTTTCTCCTTTTTAAATTCTTCCAAAAGAACTTGAATAATGTTCATGATGTGTATGTTTTGAATTTTATCATTAAATTCATGTAAAAGTGCATTTTTTTTGTTAGTGTAAATTTTTGCAGTAATTTTACTATACGATGTAGTGAATTGTTTGACTATTTATGTAATTTAACTTTTTAAATTCCTTAAATGTTTTAGGAAAAGCATCTTAGCAACTAACCCTTTGATGAAATACGGAGAATGATGATGGAATATGGATGTTGTAGTCCCCCAATTGAAAGATTTAACGATAGAGTAGATAAATTTACGAAAATTGTAACCAACTTCTAGTAAATTGTAAAATTTTCTTAAAAGTTTACTCTGAGAAAGATGGAAAAATTATTACACAAAAATATCAGAACCAAAAAAAATGATACTATGTTTTTCTCAGTGTAAACTTTTACCGTGGCAGAGCAATTGATAAATTTGGATGATAACTTTTTGGAAAATTTGGAAATTTTAAAGAATTTTTTAAAGATTAAAGACAAAGTGATAAAAGAGAACTGAAATGAATCGTAGCAAGAAATATGACAGAATAAATAAACCAGTTGATGTAAAAATAAGTGAGATAATTATGTGAAAAAAGATAAATTAAGTCACAAAATTAACAAGTGTAATGAACCTGTCATCCGTTCTCCAGATAAACTGCGGAAAAAAGATTAAGTAGGATACAAAAGTAATCAACCGTGAGGAGCTGTCAAGATTCCCCTGATATCCCGTGGAGCGGAATAACTAACCTGTCAAAGATAATCCCCTCTTAACAATTTTCCCCAGATAACCTGAAGGAAAATAAATAACATGAAATAAGAATTTAAGATTCTTTCGAGAAAAAAAATATCCTGTGATATATTAGTTTATGATTCCATACTCTAAATCAAAACTTAATTTTCGTCGAAACTTACCATCTGAAACTTACCATCCAAAAAAAAATTTTTAATTTTTAAAAAAAAAATTGTTTTTTCAAGATAAATATGTATTTGCAAGTAAAACTTTAAAAATTTTCAAAAAATTTTCTGAAACTTACCTTCTGAAACTTACCATACCGAATTTTTGTAAGACATGATAGTCCTTACATATCACAAATCGTAGAAGTTAGCTAAGAAACGCAAGTATCGGCAAAATCGAGCTCAAAAAATTCGGGCGCCAAAAATTTTTCTGAAACTTACCATCTGAAAGCTCGTATCTTAATACATTGGGAAACCTATTCTCTATCTTAATACATTGGGAAACCTATAGCCTATGTCAATACATAGGGTGACGACCGGATAGTCTATAGCCTATGTTAATACATGGGGGCCGTCACCACCCCCCCCTCCCCCCCGGCTGAACTGCCCCAACATATACTACTTACATTCCTCACCCAATATTTCATCATACATTAAGTTTTGTAAAAAAAACTACTTAACAGACCGATTCCAGTTGGTAACAATAGACAAATTCAACTCAGATAAAAAACCATTGAAATATGGGGGCTCATTGTTTTTTTCTCATTTAAATTATCCACATGCATCAAATGTGCAATTTTCAAAACTGTCCGTTACGCAGATGATACCGCTCTGATGTCTAATTTGCATGACAATTTTCTGCAGATCGAACTCGACTAAATTTACTATTGATTAGGAGCAAATAAACTTACTTTGAATATTAAGATAAATGAATGCTAATCAATAACATTCAAAAAGTCATCTCATGACGGCGTTGATACCTGACGGCGTTGATATTGCCAGTCAAAAATGAGTTAAATATCATGGTTTACATGTTGAAGATAAACTTCCTTTTAAGTCTAACGTAAAATATGTTTGTTCAGCTGTGTCCTAACTGTTAAGGATTTCGTTTAGACTCAGATAGTTTTAAAGCAAATTTTTGCTTCTGCGTTTTTATGACTCGTATAAGAAACCTAAATTTTTTTCTGGACTTTTGGTTTCTGGTCGCTCAAATAAAACTGATTTATACAGAATCATGCTGCTGCAAAAATTTCACAAGATTGCCTAAATTTAAAAGCAGCTAAGAATCTAGCAATCATTTTTTGTCAAGGAAGAACTTTTGGATGTCTATAAATTTTTCATGTATGACTCTACTCAAGCCTACAATGAAATCAACAGCTTGTTTAAATTCCGATTACTTTTCAAATTTTTTTGTTGAAAACGCAAATAACCGTAAATCCAGATCAAGTGATCCGAACCTTTTATACTTAAAGCCAGTTAAAACTAAGTTCACCCAAAAATCATTCAAAAACAGGTTTTCTCATATAACCCTATGAAATTTTGAAACTTGATCCCTTCCAATTGGGACTCAAGTGCTTCTATCAAAAACTTTGTTCATTTTTAAAATAAAATTTCCTAACATTTGATAATCAAATAGAAAAATTGTTTTTCTAATTATGTGCCTTTGTGTGATTACAAATATAATTATGCGGAAAGCTATCTATCGCCAAATGAGCCAAGATCAATTTGACATAATGTCCCGCACTTTGAAAAATGAAATCAACTGAAGATTTTCAAAAATTAGATTTTTCTTGTTCTTATTTCAAAATATGTTCCGACTCAAAAAACTATTTTGATATTTTGCGCGTGAATGTCGTCTATTCAAAAACATTTGAACAACGCTTAGGTCATATGCAATAAACGGCTCAAATCAAAACTTTTACTTTTTGACTTGAAACTAAATTAGTTGATTTTGAATGGCTAATTTTAAATAATCAAATTTAAGCAATATGTTTAGGTATTTCAAAATTTCCTCTCCTCGTTCAATTTAAATAAAATTTGCTAACGTTGCGTTTAAATGCTGAACAATTGAAAATTAATTTGATTGGCTGATCATTCCATTTTTGAATCAAGTTGAGTTGCTTGGGGGGGGGGGGGGGGGGGGGGGATATATGTGATGCAAATTTTCAACCATTTTTGTGGGAAAAACAGCATCACACACGCACGTCCTAGGGCATTTCGAATACTCAAGGCTTCACCCTGGTCCAAGCAGCCCTGATCTCTCAAAATGAAAGGCTTAAAACAAATGATTACAAAAGAAAGAATTTAAATGATGTGCATAAACATTAAAAATGTATTGTTCTAAGACTGTATTGAAATAATGAAACATTTAGAAAACATATATATTTTTCTCATGGTCAATTTGGGCTCTTAACATTTACAAATCTTCACGTTTTCTTGTGTTTGTTTTTCACAGCATTTTTTCAACACCATTGTACAAATAAAAAAATGGAGCTTATTTTTTTCGCTAATTTTTCATTTGACCTCTCATGCAATATATTAAAGATAGATCACTTCATTGTCAAGTTGATTCAATCCAATCCATTGAAAAGCTTCAGTTGTTAGCTTTTTTGTTATCATTTTTTTCTCTTTGAAATACAGGCATGCCATTGTGGTCAGTGGTCCGTAAATGTATTGAGATTGGTCTCAGTCGTCCATACAAGCGGCCACTAGTACGGCTATAGCGAATGCGGCCACAATGAATGTGGACATGAAGCAGAGCCATATGACATAGAGACACCAGTCGGCCTCCGTGTCTGCTCCGTTGTACTGGGTGAAGGCTGTCTGGGCCAGGGTGGAGGAGACAGTGATTAGCCCCACTACTGCAGCCGCCCCAATCACACTCGCCACACCCAACACCTTACTCTGTAACAGAATTAACTTTGATTATAACTGCGTTTGACAGATTATAATTGATATAACAAATAAATGTTTCAATATTCGCAAAACAACACAAAAAAGCGAGTAAAAAGTTACAATTTCCATTTAAACAAGAACGTAGAACAAAAAATTAATGTTAGGAGCTTACTCTGAAACGGTATTAACATAACTGTTTATAAATGATTGTAATCTATTATATCAGAAATCACTAATGACTGATTACTACGAAACATTAATATAACTGATCGTTCTTTCGTTATCGGCAGAACTGTCCGAAAAATCAATTAAAAACAAGATGACTCAATTTGAAAAAGCACATAGAACAGAAAGCCACGCCTAGAAACAGCATTGGTTAATTCAGACAAAAATTATTAGTTTTTGTATTAACCAATGTGAAATGCTCAAAACACCCTGTAAAACACATCAATTGGGTGCGACGTAGAAAATAATGACAATTATCAACATTTAAGGGTTTTTGACGGAGCTGCGGCCAAAAACAGGTCGTATTTTTCAACACATAACTACTTTGATGCTAACTAACGGAGGAGAAGTTATGACAGTTCAGAAATGTTTTCATCGCGATTTGATAAATTAAACTTCTCTCATCAATGTTGTCTATTGTCTAAAGTTTTAACAAATTGTTCCGCTCACCGACTACTGAAAACGGATCTGTAGAGCCAATGGTACTCTCCCAGAGGCCGTACTTAATTTAGTTTAGAGTTTGTTTTCTAATTATACTAAAGTTCCTTGTGTATTTCAGCTGGTTGAAAACAATTCAAAGTATCAGTATTATAACTGTTATGAGTTTGACCTTGATGCAGATGGACAAGTAGAAGAATATTAAGAGTGCCACTCCTATGAGGTCACTGATCACCACAAACGTCCTCATGGTCACATAGTCCCCCCAGTCATGGCCCATCGCATCTCTAAACACCACATGTTCATTAATTGTATGGTCACTCAAAAGTTTTCATCGTTATCGCAAACCATCTCTAACTGTATGATTACTCGGCCCCCTCCCCCCAAATGATGAAAAGGAAAATTTTTAAAATAATAATAGTCTGAGTAATAAAAGGCGGAAATATTGATGCGGCTGACCAAAAATGAAAGAGTCGTCTTCGACTGGGTTATTTTCATTTTGATGGGTTAATTTATATCGGATGGGTTATTTTATATCCAAATTTTATTGATTAAATTGATTCATTGTTCCGGATATCAGCCCCAGTAGCAAGACTTTGCTGTATTGTTTTTGCTGTACTTTCACGTTTCCAATAGACCCATTACCTAAACTGTTTCGACACTTTCTTTCATTACTTGAGCATCTCATTTGTTACTTTGAAAGTTACAAAGTTCTATAAATATATACAGGGTCGGACGCCCCCGACCCCCCCCCCCTCTGAGGGATTCGACCCCCCTGTAGACCCAAAAGAGCGTATATATACAGGGGTGGACGCCCCCCCCCCCCCACTCCTCAGGGATTCGACCCCCTGCCGATTTGCTGGTCGGTCTCCCTTTGTACTATTTTGAGATGTCCATTTTTGGCTGATTGACCCCGAAATTTTTCTAAAAGTGCCTTTAGCGCCAAAATATACTAATTTTGAGGGGGAGCGCACGTCGAAAAACGCAATTTTTTGGTCATAATTTTTCATAAAGTGCCTAAAAACGTCTTTTTTGGCCTGTTTTTTTTTCAAATTTTTGTGGCGCAAAAACAGCCTGAAGAATTGTAGTTTTGCCCTGAAACGACAAAAAGATTTTTTAATTGTCTTTTTTGAGATTCAAGAAAGCCAAAAACATCCGACCAGATAATAAAAAACGAAACTACGAAACTAGGATAGCCGGTTACTGTGCAAGTAGCACAGAATGTTCTGACCATAGTCTAAAAAATACAAAAATTAAAAAAGTTTTTTTTTTCAAATTAGTGTGTTTTTTTCTGCCTGATGTAATGAAAGAATTTGAACAAAAAACAGAAGTTAAGATTATTTGACAGTCATAGTAAAATTGGCAAAAAATGAAGAAAAATGATTCAAGATAACAAAAAAAAACGAAAAAAAAAATTTTCCAGAAACTGCTGTCGTTTTGAAGTTTTTAACTACCGGTAACAAAAACTCCAAAAACATTGTTACTTGAGTAAAATTAAGTTTTCTCGGCCTGATTAAAGCAAAAATATGCTATTGAAAGCCTGCTCGTTTGCATTATTGGCTCGATATTAGACTTAAAATCAAAATATTTACAGTGACAACGTTTTGGGATTTTTTAATGCTGTAAAATCGCAAATGAAAGGCCTTCAATATGATATATTATCCCATTCCCATATTTATTTTAGGTACCTGATTTTGCGTCACAAGAAGCCTATCACACAGCCCAACAAAGTAAATTTCAGTAAATTTTTTAAAGTTAGTTTTGAGCACAGATTCTGAATTTTATATAGTAAAAATCACATTTCTTGACTATCAAGAAAAAGTATTTTCTCTTATACAGGTTTTTAGAGATTTAACCCTTCTAAAACTTTATTGGGCTATGTAATAGGCTTCTTGTGATATATATAGTTTTTATCAATTAATAAGTAGTGTCAGCGTACTTTTTGATTATTTAAAAAAACCAAAGTGACCCATTTTTGGGGTAAAATTTTGGTTGCGAATTTCGGCGAAAAAAATTACACCATATTAATTCTGATGAAATTCTAAGCAACTTTTTTCTCTTCACTTTTTGTCTAATTTTAACCCAATTTGAAAAAAAACGTGTTTGAAAACTCAAGTTTTGTTCTTTTTGTCCGGATAATTTAAATCAGCACTGTATGTTTAAACAATAAATGCAAAAGTGAATGGTTTCTGTTAGAAACCGTTTAGGTTTGGTTTCTTTTTAATACAAACTGACGTCAATGTCGATACGTCATAATGAGCAACTCTATGCCTAGTTTTTCCTCAAAATCAGAAATGTGTGTAAAAAGAGGAATACTGCGCGTGAATCAGTGTTTGCTGCTAAACTAGTTTGTTTTGCTGACATACAGTGACATAGAGTGAGATAAATGTCTCAATTAGGGAAAATCAACCACAGATTACGCGTCGCTTTACTGCAGTCAATCAATTGCTCGTCATTTTTGCTGCCTCTACAAATCTGCCAATCAAAGTCTGCTAAAAGACCTAGGTTTCCCGTTTTATGGGGCAAACCGGTCTCCTGAAAAACCGATCCCTAAATTAATTGGTATAAAAATGATTTAAAAATTATTTCGTGTGAAAATTATTTCGTGTGAAAACTAATTTAGTCTTCAAAAATATGTGTGAAAAATGATTTGTTTGCTCACGCGTCTTTTTTGTCGACGTATTCGCACTTCCAGTCGACCAGTGCAGTCTTGGAGCAGAAGTGCCACAGTCCTCCCACATGGAAGGAGACGCCTGTTTCCAGGTACCACACAATGGGCACGTGGAAGGCGGCAGACAGGAGGACGAAACAGAGGGAGGAGATCAAACCCCCCACTGAACTGACCTTCCGAAGCATCGCCATCACACACATTGTTACTCACTGCACAATTGGAAAATTATAACACAATTAATAACTATGGTATGAATTATACCAAAGTTTATAACAATGAGGCAAAAAATGCGGACCAAGAGCAAAATCAGCAGGATTTAACGCTGTAAGAATAAAAGAGAGCAAGAGAAAATTATCAAACTTAAGAAAAAAAATTAAGATTTCTTGCCGATTATATGAGGAAGAAGTATTGGCAATGGTCGAAGAATCTGGAAACTTTTGCAAATAAATACAAAATTTAATATAATATAGTATAAATTTTAGTTTTTAATGAATTCAGAAAAGTATGGTCTTGACTCCTTATTTTTCGAGATATTCAAGCAGCTTAACAGAAGCAATAGAAAATAATAAAAACTCTTAAGTTTCCTTCGTTAAATCAATATTTTTGCATTCAGATAACTGGCACCTGCTGGTTGGTAGGCAAAACACTGTACTTATCTCTTTGTTAGGTGGACTTCACCGTTTGAGCTGGTTATAATAATCATAACCAGGAAAAACCAGAAGCACGTGCTTGAAACAGCGGCAGGTGCTGCCAGTACTATTTGAATATGTGATACAGAAAGAAAGAAAAAAAACGGCAATGAAACTGAAAGCAAATGGAGGTCCAAAGCATAAAATCTAGATTTCAAGAAAACGGTCATAAACATAAAATTCTTACGCAATCTAAGATTGACACGCAGACAAAAATTATTTTATAGACAGCAAAAATTACACCTGATGAAAATGTAAAACATGTACCGGCAAACTAAGATAGCGGAAATAAACCATTAGTGAGAGTACTCGTTAATTTTTAAGATCATTTCATTATCATTTCCACAAAGAACTTTATAGAGACTATGAAATTTGAAATTAAGGAATACTTTTTTCTATTTTTCGCGAAGATCCTTCTATGGCAACCTATGGAAAAAAAACATGGAAACAATTTAAATTTATTTGATTTTAAAATTCTAACCATTATTTTATTACATTACGAGGCCAAACTGTGCATTCTCTGCATTGTAAGCAGAATCCTTAACAGGCCAAAATCAGATGTATCGCGGAATCCGCAACATTGCTACTTTTTTTTGATCTTCTATGCTGTTTTCGTTTCCACAAACAAATACCTAAATAATTGTATCGCTCAAAATCGCTCGAAAAATAGGCGAAATTGCGGAATCCGCACTTGTATTTGCGGAATCCAGAACAGTTTTTGGAATCCACAAACAAATGATAAAACATTTGTATCGTTAAATTGAGCTGTTGCGGAATCCGCAACTGTAAGTGGAATCCGTAAATTGTAAATGGAATCCGCAAATTGTATGTGGAATCCGCATTTTGCTTGCAGATTCCTTTTACATATAATTATATGTGTAGTGGCCTTTGAAATTATATCTTTTAAATACATGATTTGATTTCACTAGAATAGAAATTTACTAGAATGGATCAGTGTTTGGGATTAATTGAATCCCAATTATTGACCAGTATTTGGGATCGATGAAATCCCAAATACTGAACTAATTCGACGATTTGCTATGCGTTGGGTTTCTAATCACTCTTAACCTATTGACTCCAAATAAGGGATATTTTCCATATTTATTCCCCATTATTCCAGTTTTTGGGATTACATCAATCGCAAATACTGACCAGTATTTGAGATCGATGGAATTCCAAATACTGACCTAATTGGCGATATGCTGTGTGTTGTGTTTCCATACACTCTCAACCCAATGACTACAATTACTGCATTTATTCGGCGTTATGCTACCAAAATCAGTATTTGGGATTGACGCAATCCCAAATACTGACCTAATTTGTCAATTTGCTGTGTGTTCCATATACTCTCAACTCAATGACTCCAAATATTGAAATAATTCAGTGTTGTGCTTCCAAAATACTAAAAGATGACATCCACCGATTTAGATAACCAATGTTTTAAAACTTGTTCGTGGATTCTGCTGACAATGGTTAAATCTTTGCTTTTAAATTCCGCATTGCTAGAGATAAGAATTCCAGCTGACCTTTTAATTGTTCAGATGCAAGTTCAGTATTGAACAAAATTCGGAATCCACTTAGTTTGCTGAATCCACTTACATTTGCGAACTCCGCTTACAATTTGAGGAATCTACTTACAGTTGCGGAACCCAGAACAACTAGCTATATTTGCTTGTTGCGGAATCCGCAACAAAACAAATTTGACGACAAAACTGACGTTAAAGGTATATGTTTGCGGAATCCACTGAAATTTTGTTCGTGTAATCCACTTACATTTTGAAACATGTTTTAAGACTTTTCTGTGGAATCCAGGAACATACATACACAAAATTGTGCTCCTATCCAGTGCACAGTTTGGCCTCGTAATGTATTTGTAAATAAATAAATCAGAAAAGTTCTGTGACTTGCACTTGCTTAATATTATTAAGTATCATTTTGCCATTAAAGTGTATATATTTTTTTATAGAACAGGGCGAAGGCTAAAAGTACGAAGAGCTGTCAACATGAGTTTTTTAGTTTTGAAACGTTTTTTTTCATATTCCTCAAAAAATTATCTTTTTTGTTGTTTTTGTCAAAAATTGCGAATCATCTTAAGCTTTGTGGTTAGTTCTACTAAACCGATTTGAACTAGTTTTCTTTGATGAACGGTAGAAAAAGGAATGTTCATCAAACTGAGTATTTTTTATTACGATAATTGAAAATGGGAAGGTTCTTAATATTCGTTTGCGTTTTTGTTTTATTTTTCTTTTTTTTTGTTTTCCATGAAAATCAAGTGCCACATTTAATTATTGGAATGAGTCAAGAGATATATCAAATTAAAGTTGTTTCAGTCGTGATTTGCACATCTTTCAAAAAACTTTCAAAAAATTGTTTCCGTGTCCGGAAAAAATAGATTGAAGATTTTTGTGTTTTTGTTAAATTTCGAGCAAGTGAAGCAATCGAGTAACGCTCGTTATATGAATTTTTATTTTTTGACTTAGGATTTTAGGCAAATGAAACTTGATTTTACTAAGACCAGACTGCTCATATATCAGGACACAGCGCTAAACGTTTCGACTGCGCCGTTACCAATATCGAATTGTTTTTGGGGAAAAAATAATGAACAACTATCAATTTTGGACAATATCAAAGATCAAGAGTAAAAAACTTGAGCTTTACAAAATAAGGACGACCAATTAGCTAGCTGCTTTTCAAGTGGGAACGGTTTTGTTGAGTGAGATAAATCGCTATGCAAAAATAGTTCGTGTTACAATCTTAGAAGTATGAATAAATGCTTCAAAGCGCATAATTTAATGCAAATTTCAAAATCGCAGAACTTTACAAACAATATCTTTTTACAATTGAACTGAGGAAACTGATATTGATTTGTTTAATTTTTTTTTTGATAAACACTATGATTTTGATTGCAGAAAATTGACCTCAATGAAATATGGAACCATTTTGTTGCGCGTGATAATTCGTCACTCATAAATAGTTCCCTTCCGTTCCAGCGTTGAATAAAATCTTCAAAGCACGCATAAATTGGTCCAAAGCATGGCCAAATTGTCATTTTTCAAACTCCAGATTTTTGCTGAAAATGATCAGAGGTAAAATACCTTTTTAAGTTTGATTTCAGGTCGATATCTTCAATGAGTCGATACCTTCAATGGGGTTTAAAAAATTGTTTAATTTCGATCGCCAAAAATTGGTAGAAAAAAAACCCACCCCAAGCATAAATGTTCTATTTTCTTCAAAAGTCAGAACGAAAAACTAGTTTTGGATATTTCTTTTAGAAATTACTTGGCTATAAAAATTGTCTTAGGAAAAACAAAACTGTGCAAAAAATTAGAAAATTTTGTAAGCTTTCAACAAAAGTTCAACTTGTTTGCTTATCATTCGTTTCATTGAAGACAAATATTGTGGATTGTACCCATTTCGAAAAATTTCAAAGTGTTTGTGTAGTTCTCTAATCAAACCACGCGTTAAAATTGACACCAAATTCAATCAGCCAAAGAAAAAAGTCGTAGTTTTTTTATGGTACATTCGATGACATTCTACGCTACTTGCTCAGCAACCAGCTATCTTTGTTTGATTTGCACATACTAAGCTGCACAAATGCAAGATCGCAAATTCTCTTCGAAAGCGCACAGTCTATTGCGCTTAACTGTACCAATACAGCTAAAGGCTTTTTTCAACCCAAATAAATTGGCCTCAGGTAAAAAATGTTAGTTAAAATTGCTAGTTGAAAAAATGATAGCCGTCTGGAGAAAAAAAATTAGGTATACTCCATTCTTTTTACTTAACTTTTTTTCATTTTTTTTTCGGAAATCAGAACGTTTAATTTAGGTTTATATTCATTGAATTTAACACATTTTAAGCAATTTAAAATCATTGGGTCTCAATCATATATATATATTTCAGTTTTATACAAACTTTTGTTTGCTTTTGATCCAAAAAAAATCAAATTATTCCCATACTATGAAACTAGCATGGTTACGTTTCTTCCGAACAATGGAGTTATTATGGCTGAGAGAGCAAGTGTCTTGTAACGGAAATAGACTTCTTCACCGTAAGCAACTTTGCTTACAAGAAATTGATTTTGCTTTATTTTTGAACCCCAACAACTTCAAAGTTCCATCCCACTTGGATAGGAGGATTGCTTTTGCAGACTGAGGTCCATGGTTGGAATCGCGGCGGGACCTTTTCGTTGCCAAATTGTAATAAATTTTTTTAAAAATTCTTGTAAAAGTTGAATAGTCGGACTATCGTTTGTTTGCTCAAACTTAGCGAGTTTATGCGACCGATCACGGATTTTTTTTGTGCTATAAGCAAGTTTCAGGGCAGTCACAAGTGTCGTTAACAGAAGGTTCAGAAGGACTTGAGTTTATTAAAGCTTTTCTAGAAAAATTTTTTTTCGGCTCATTTCAAGTCTGCTCAAAAATTGGCGGCTTTGTTTCCACATCGTAAGTTTTATTGAGCTGTTAATTTAAAATTGAAATGTTGGCTTGCTAAGCTGACTGAGACTGTTTTTTCAAGATACTTCGCTTTTTTGAGCCTTGAATTTTTGAATAATTTTTAAGATTTTTCAAAATATTTCAGTTTTCTCAGATAATATTCAACCCATTTTTACAAAAGTGGTTTCAATTGAACGACCACCTGATCCACTGTGTGCCTGAATACTCTGCTGGAGTCTTTTTATCCCGCTGATTTCATCCTTCGAAAAATCTATGGGGGAATATGTGACCCACACTTTTATTTTTTTTCATTTTCTCGAAAACTACCTCTCTCATATCTGTAGTTTTGGTTTTAATTGATAGAACGGTTTTTGAAAGCTCCCTGCAAAAAAGGCTACGCCTAAATTTCTTACTCAATAAGTTATGGTGCTCGGAATAGTCAAAATTGTTTTGTATTTGACCGTTTTTTGAATCGTTTTCATTTTCTTGGAAACTAACATCTCAAATCTGACCTTGTGGGTCCAATTAAGATACCGAGTAACGAAATTGTCATCTGCATTTTTTACACAAAAATTTGTTGCCCTCGCAAAAATCCTTTTTTGTTTTTTTTACCGTTTTTTAAACTTTATGAATTTTCTCGAAAACTACCCAGCCATATCTAAGACTT